CCTAAGCACCTAAGCACGGAGGAAAATCAGAAACACCTGTGAAGGTCACAGTCCAGGGCGCAGGCTCATTAACGTTGTATTCCTTGTTAGTGTGTGTTTCCTTATGGAAATTAATTTCATCATCTTTGCATTAAAATTGTGTTTCAAGGAAAAGAAGAAAATTGTGTTTCAATTTTGATGCAAAGAGAAGGCAGTACATGAAAACAATGGCAGTCCAAAAACACCTCCGAGAGAGAGAAAGAAAAATGCCGACATGACAAAGTGATTTGTGAACAACCTTTAACCACCATTGTCCTTAAGTGAGAAGTACATTGGCCACCCCTCCCTGCAGAGACAAGTACTCAGGATGGTCGTCTCTCCTGGCCTTTAAATCCCCACTAGACACTAACTTGGAATTGTTATCCAAGTCCTGGGAGATGTCATCCACCAGATCACTCTCGGAGGACTCGTGGGCCATGGCCTTGTAGAGCTTGCAGGCCACCAGGGCCTTGGCCATGCTCTCCTCCCCTCGCTGCCAGAGGAACACCGCCATTTTCTGGCGTTTCATCAGCACGGCCCACACCATCAGCTCGTGGAAGGGGTACTGGAACCGACTCACGGCAGGGTCATCCACATCGATGTCGATCTCTTCCTCCTTTTTCTTCTTTTTCTTTTTCTTCCCTTTAGCTGGAGGCTCATCATCCTGAGGGGAGAAACATGGATTTCATGGTTTTGCCAGAAAAGTATGCAACAAAGAGTTCCAGAACTCCTGGCGAAAGGGAAACCTTCCTGTTAGAATAATAAAGAGACTTCTGAAGTACATCTTACATTTCCACTCCACATATGAATTCTTTTGAAAAGATGCACAAGTTTATTATGATAAGTAAACTGTCTAAAACCGAATGAACTGAGAAGGCATACTACTGGCACCCCTGGGTCAGCAGTTTTACTTAGAAGCCTTTAACTGAGGAGATCCTGCAAAACTAAAACAAGCAAGCACAACGTCCCCCCAAAACTAAACACAACATCATGGAAGAGGGAAGGTCCACAGTTTGTTTCCTCAGGGAAGTCTTCCAATGTAGCAAAAATAACACTCGTTTGCCAGACGTAGCTGAACCAGAAATTAATAGGAAACATGCAAAAGGGGCTAGAGAAAAAAAATGTTTTAGGTTTCCCTCCAGTGTTTTAAGAAAGCAAATATTCCACTTTGAATGAGCACTGTCCTTTTCCCCTTATGGTGCAAAAGGGAAGGCCAACACTTCCCATTTCCTAAAGGGGTTGTGATAACTGTTCTGCGAATGGATCAGGATTCATAAGAAAGGCAGATCGTGGTTGGGAAAACTGGCATGAAATATGTGGGGCTCAGACTATTCCGGGCTAATACTTTAGTATTCAATGGAATCACAGAAACAGATGTTTGTTCTTTTGCAAACAGCGTTCCCATCAATTATCTTCTTTTATTCTTACAAGGACTGAGAGGTTGTGAATTCCTTCCATTCCCTCAGATTAGGAAGTTGTGGCTCCGTCTGAATAACTCAGCCACATTCACACAGTTGGAGTGGTCTGGAGCATGGGGGGTTATGGGGGCCACCTGGCTCTCCAATTCCTATCTCAACTTGGTCACGACTGACCCAGTTTTTACAATATCATAACGAGCTGTGATAACATTTTCATGGAAACTGTAGTATCTTGACTCCAATTTAAATATCTTTATTCTAATTTTCTAATTTTGTCACAGCGAAGCTACAGTCGCCGTGATATAGGAAAGGTTGGCCTACACAGGTTAAAAATGAACAGTGTGGAAATGTTAAGATAAACATAGATTTATTTTCAAGAATATATAAGATAAAATAGAAATTAACTAATGACTAATGAAATGTTATAAAACAGAAGTCCTTTTAAGCCTACCTTTCAATAACATATAATATTATTAAAATATTAATTGCACGTAAATTCTCTTTAAAAACTGCCAGAGAGAGAATATGAGAAACAAAGAGTTAATTTTCCTAAAATGCAAAGGCCTCTCACAAATCAATGAGGAAAAGGGAAAGAAATCAATAAAATAACAAAGGATCTGAACTGGGAGTATAAGGAGAAATTGACATATTACAATCATAGTAAATAAGTAAGTAACACATCTTACTTAGCAATGAATTTGAAAAAAAAATTACAGGGAATTTCTATACAAGGAATAAAATTTGAAATTAATTATAGTAGTATAACAACAATAAAAGTCTGTATCTGGGAAATTTGAAATACACTTCTAAATAACTCTTGGATTGAAAAGGAAATAATAAATGCCTTAGAAAAAATGACAATGAAAGTTCTGCTTATCCAAACCTGTAGAATATCATGAAACAATGCTCAGAACAATTTATACCTTTAACGCATTTATAGGAATACAGATGGAAAATGAGTGAATTTTCCTTTCAAACTGAGTTAGCAGAAACAAACAATAACAGTAGGGGAAGTATATGGAAGAAACGAATACAAATAAAAGCAGACATTAATAAAATAGAAACAGAAAAAGAAAGTTGCTCGATAAAGCAAAAATACCAATAAAATAAGTAGCAAAGAAAGCTTAAGAAAAAAAGAGAGGAGATATAAATTTTGTTAAAAAATGGCACAAGAGGCTGGGCGGGTGGCTGTTGCCTGTAATCCCAGTACTTTGGGAGGCCAAGATGGGTGGATCACCTGAGATCAGGAGTTTGAGACCAGCCTGACCAATATGGTGAAGCCCCATCTCTACTAAAAATACAAAAATTATCCTGGTGTGGTGGCATGCACCTGCAGTCCCAGCTACTCGGGAGGCTGAGACAGGAGAAATGCTTGAACCCGGGAGGCTAAGGTTGCTTGAACCCGGGAGGTTAATGAGCCAAGATTGTGCCATTCCACTCCAGCCTGGGTAACAGAGTGAGACCCCCTACTCAAAAAAAAAAAAAAAAAAAAAAAAAAATTGGCACAAGAAATGACACATAACTGAAGATACTGAGGAGACTGAAAAAAACTAGAATACTACGTAGAAGTTTATTCCAGGGAACTTGAAAGTCTAGATGAAATAAATCATTTTAGGAAACTATAAATGACCAAAATTGACTCTAGAAAATAAAAAGTCTGAATGCACTTATATGTATAATAGCTATTATGAAGTAGTGAAAGACACACTTCTAAGAAATAGGACTGGACCCGGAAATTTTACAGGTAAGTCCACCAAACCTTCATGGAACAAATAAACCCTGACATGGAGAGTCTGAGAGAACAGAAGACCACAGAAAGCTCATAACCCTTCCAGGAGCACCGTGTTAAAGCTCAGTCTTACCTGTCAACACAGAATGAAAACCGTCTACACTGAATCCATGAAGAATCGGGATGCTATTTAGCTCATAAATTTATTTGAAAAGAATGTTTCCAAGAGTCAATCCTAATATTCCACAATATGGCATTTCTTCCATTCATTTAAATATTTTTAGGTCTGGGACATTGTTCTTAAGGTTGCTAGTAAAGGTAATTTCTGGTACTTTTGTCCTATTGTGAGGGAACTTTAGTTGATTTTCCTGGATTTTCTAACTCCCCCCAAATGTTTTTGCTGATAATAATTTCTCCCTTTCTTGGGTATTCTTTTTTTTTTTAGCATTTATTTTTCCTTGTTCAATTTCCAGAACACTTTTGGAGACCAGTGGGGATAATGATGCTGACAATATTGGGCGTGCTTGTCTTGTTCTTGATTTTCATGGACATGACTTCAGGGCTGCACTGCTCATAATACATTTCCCTTGCTCTAAGATACACATGTATTTTAATCATACCAAGAAAGCATTTTATCATTCTATTGTGAGAAAACTATATATTTTTTAACTAAGTAAGGAGTATGTTTTACATGTGTTTCACATTCATCAGCACCTACTGAGAAATGGTCATGTCATACTTTTCTTCTGTGACTTATCGATATGATGCAATATATTGAAGACCAGCATTGCATTATATTTGCATTCTTGGATGACTCTAATTGCTTGTTTAGGACTTTGAAAATAGTGTATTGAATTCTTTTTGGTGTTATTTATGGTTTTTTACATATATACGTGGTGTTATTCTCTAGTTTTTTTTTTGTTTGTTTGCTTAATCTTTGCTTTTGAAACTGTGGTTTTGTTAGTTCTGGAAATGAATTGTGCAGCTTTTACCCCCATTAAAGAAAATGTATATATGGTCCTTTTATATAATTTGACTAAGACATCTAGGTAAATTTTGGTGAGTAGTATCATATATTCGCAAATACAGAACTTAAAGGGCTATGTCTATTTGACCAAGATATTACAAAACTTTTGAAAACAAATTCTACTTACTTCCATTCCCAGAAGTTTAAGAGCTTTAGGCTGCATGGTGAAAGAGGAAGAAAAAAGTCAATTTACTCAGATAACTAATGTTAGTAGTACATTAGCAGTATTGTTGCTAGTGGACATAGGAATTGATTAAAAAGCACTTTGTATCATTAACAATTAATGATAATGTCCAAGGAAAAGAAGTGCTTTAATATGGAAACTCTTCTATCAGCAGAAGTTAATTGAGAAGAAAGCTCAGCAGACACATGGCCCTTATTCCAGGTAGAAGCAGAGAAGTTCCCTAACAGACATCAAAGAGCTGTGGGGCTGTAAGTTGGGCGTGAAGAGAGGGCATCATGAAAGATCGGACATTTGAGTTGAACTTTTGATAAGGGTGGGAAAGGCACTGATAGCGGGGAAAGACGTGGCAGGCACACATCTTTGATTTGATCACAGGATTGGATTTTGGTGCAGGTACATGGTCTCCCATGTGGGTGAGGGCCAGCTGGCAGAGGGCCTTGGCTACTGTGATAATGAGTTTGGCTACAATTCTCCAGGCAGTGAGGAGCTCTGGGAGGTTTGAAGCAGGGAATGCAGGCATGTCCCTTCCTTTGGAAGATTATGGCAGGTACAGTGGTGGGATGGTAGAATAGGCTGGAGCGGGCAGACAGGAGGAAGTCTGCTGTGGACAGAGAAGGAGGGCAGATGCACTCGGTGGGCAGGGCGGCCCATGCTCAGGGCAGCTGGGGAATGCTGTGACTCGGGCCTGAGAGCCCTGTAGGAGGCAGGACCGCTGTGCCGGGGACAGGGCGAATGGCTTGGCTCTGCACCGGCCAAGTTGCTGAAAAGCAAGCAAGGAATCACATGGCACTCACAAACCAAAGAACACTACACAAACACTGAGTTCTACCCTTTTTGGTCCAAACAAGTTGTTGTAAAGAGTCCGAAAGTTTTTCCGGGTGTAGTTGCAGCGGTAGGCTCCTCCCATGAGGTACTCCAGCACGAGCCCGATGTCTATGAGGCTGATGTGGTAATCCGGTGGAAGGTTGCTCTGTAAGAGAAGTCTGGTTTCAGGCCCTGTGAGGATGCGTTCTCAGTGTGGACTTCATCACGCATCTCGCGGGTAAGTGGCCATCCTGGCCCCCACTTGGGAGTTCATGTAATAGGTGGGTGGGGGATTAAATAATATTCAGACTGGGGAAAGCCTCTATCCCTTGATAACAAGGTGGCAGAAAGGGCCAAGAACAGCGGCTGCAATCAACAGGACACAGAATGACTTGAGGAACCTCCTGCCGGTGCTTCTGGAAAGAACCACAGGCAGTGGGTGAGAGATCTCAAAAGAGGGACAGAATGAAAGGCTGCATGGACAGTCAGTGGTGCTCAGGTCAGCGGCCGGCCATCCCCTTCCCCACCCCAGCCAGTGGCTGCCCTGGCCTTGCACTGGCATCAACTTGTATGTAATCCAGCTGTCACTGAGAGTGTCCCTACCATGGATTCAGATGAACGTGCAACTTAAAAAAGATTATCCTTTGCTTTCTTAGTTTTAAATAGACTCTTTATGAAAGAAGGAATTCAATATCTCCTGTGCCTGAAATAATAATACATTTTGAAAATTTAAAACTTGCTCTTAAGAAATCTTTTTGTGAAAGATGCCAATAGGTAAGAATTATAAAACAGTAGACTGACCTTTTTCACATCCCTCACCAGCAGATGAAGTGTGTTTGGTGGACCCAGTCTCTGAAAGAGAAGCATTCATGTGTGTGAAATATTTTTCTTGACCAGGTGCAGTGGCTCACGCCTGTAGTCCCAGCACTTTGGGAGGCCAAGGCAGGCGGATCACTTGAGGTCACGAGTTTGAGACCAGCCTGGCCAACATGGTGAAACCCCATCTCCACTAAAAATACAAAAATTAGCTGGGCGTGGCGCCTGTAACCCCAGCTACTAGGGAGGCTGAGGTGGGAGGATCACTTGAACTCGGGAGGCAGAGGTTGCAGTGAGCTAAGATTGCACCACTATACTCCAGCCTAGGTGATAGAGTGAGACCTCGTCTAAGAATAAATAAATAAATAAATACTTTTTTTTCTTGAACTCTTCGAGTAAAATCCTGCCCTACTCTATATAATTAATGAAATGTGAGAGCTGGAGTGTAACCCACACCAGCCTTTTTCTTTTACAGAACAGAACTGGTCATGGTTAAAAAGTATCCAACACGTTTCAAAAGTTGTGAAATATTTTCTGTTGCGTTTTTTTAAAGAGTATCTTAAGGTACACAACATAGTGTTAATAATTCACCAAGTTGGCCAGGATCAGTGGCTCACACTTATTATCCCAGCACTTTGGGAGGCTGAGGGAGGTGGATCACTTGAGGCTAGGGGTTTGAGACCAACCTGGGCAACATGTTGAAACCCTATCTCTACAAAAATTACAAAAATTAGCTAGGTGTGGTGGTGTGCACCTGTAGTCCCAGATACTCAGGAGGCTGGGGTAGGAGGATGGCTTGAGCCTAGGAGGTTGAGGCTGCAGTGAGCTGAGATCATGTCACTGCACCCCAGCCTGGGCAACAACAGAGACCCTGTCTCAGAACAAAAAAAAAAAAAGAAAATTGCCAAGGTTTAGCAAGCAGCTGCTGAGGACCATTTCTGCTACTTAAAATCTTATAATAGGGAAGCAAATATAAATTCTCAAAACTGATATTGTAATAATGTAAGCCAAGGGAATTTCACTCAAACCCTTCCAGCAGAGGTCCTGGGTGTGAAACTTAGCTCTATGTTTTGCCCCCAAAACCTCATCAAATGCGAGGGTCCCAAGGAACAATTGACTTCACACCCTTGGTGACATTTCACTCTGCTAATGGCTTGGGGAGCTAGATTCCCTCTTTGTAGCAACAAGTACTCGGACACCAACCTCAAATGCGGGACAAGAGTTAATACTGCCCGAGAAAGGAGTGACTGTCGAGGCATGGCAGGAGGTAGTAAGAATGTGAACACAGGCTGTGGCCAGCAGCAGGTGAGAAGTAGCCACCTGACATTAAATATGGACCTCCCAGATGAAGGAGGTCAGATGAGCACATTTATGTACAACATGCACCAGTGACAAACACATTCGGGTGACTGCCTCCTCCTTCCCTCCCTTTTTCTAGAGCACTCACTGTGTTATACAGCTCCTCCAGCCTCGGAATGGTCAGAAAGTGTTGCATGTTCACTCCGTTTTCAATCAGGAGCTTCACAAAGTCTACACGATCTAAGACTAAAGCATCCAGCATTGCTTGCTCCAAAGCATTCACCTGCAGGGACCAAGGGCCGGGAGCCCGTGAGTGGCCTCTCAGAGACACTGGGGAGAGGGGCGACTAGAAACACAGAGGAAAGGGTATTCCGAACCCCAGATCCCAGAGCACTCCAAGATGGTATTCTTTGCTCTTTATCTTGGGTAAACACTCCCCATCTCCCCTCTCCTTTCTTCTCAGTTTGGCCTCTACATGTTCCATCCATGTTTGTAAATTATTTTTTCCTTCTAAAAATAAATTGAAGAGGATTCAAAATCTCAGCCCTCCCGGCATCGGCCTGCCCAGTCTCCACCATTTGTTTCCTTAACTGAGAAGTTCTGCCAGGGGGAGCTATGTGGGCAGGCAGCATGACCAGGGTGCCGTGCGGGTGAGTGGCTGTGACGAGGGCAGGCACACGTCACCACAGAGGTCTGGTCCCCTGTCTTGCCTATGTCCTGGTGGCAGCAAGACAAAGAACTGCCGTGCAATGTGTGACTCCAGCCTCCCCACCCAAACTGCTGTTACCCCACACACCCAATCATGGGCTCTGTCTGTCAAAAAAGGGCTTTTTGCATGAATTGCATTTATTTGATGACAACTGATTTGTTTGCTGTATATTCATGCATCAAGCATTGGGATGTCTGCCAGGCAGAGAACCACTAGTGAGCAGGGTGACTCAGGGCCCCTCTCTGGGTGGCATCATTCTCCCCAAAGCAGGAACATTTGGTGTTTTGGACAATTGACAGGATCATCTCAGTGAATGTGCTGTTGTAGTTTGAAATGCTGACACTACCCAGTCAAGCCTTTACCCATCCCTCCTGTGATCAGGGCCTTGGGTGGGGCTGAAGCAAGGGCAAGAACCATCGCTTCCCCTGGGGAAGCGTGAGGCCAAGCTCGTGATCTCTGTGACCTTCCACATACCCAGTTCAGCAGCTCTATCTTCCGGGGATCAGTTTCTTCCTCCGCTTCCTCTTTCACTTTCCCTTTCTTCTTGCCTTTCCCTTTTCCTCTTCCTCCCTTGGTGGTGGCCGTGGCTGGCTTCTTCTCCTTCTCTGTGGCTTTGCTGTCCGTCGGGGGTGCCAGGCTTCCCAGGGGCTGCAGTCCACAGCAATCAGAGTTGGGAAAAGGTATTAAGGCTCTCTCTTGTCCCCAGACCAGCTCATTGACCCTCCCACCTCTGTATGTGTACAAATACACACATATGCTCATATGCATACAATACTCATATGTACACCACACATGCTCATATGCATACAATGTACATGTACACACCCACACAGGGCACATATACACCCAGACATATGTACACGTGCACACGGACTCCATCCCACACACCTACACACTCAGTCATCGCAGGCCTGGCTGTCTGAAGAAGGCACTGATACAGTGAACCACTGTTACTCGTGTGCACAAACACACACTTGACTTGATGCAGCAGCTTTGCATACTTAAAGTGGCTGACATTTTGATCGACGTGTGCTTTTGCACGAAGGAAAGGGTGCTGAGAGTTCAAAGGCACCAAAGAGATGTGTTTACAGTCATTTAATGATGTGAAAAAGCGATTGTGAAGGGGGTATGAGACAATGGATAGAACGGAGGATGCCTGCCTGGATATAAACATAAACTGGAGCTTATCGGTGGGTAAAGAAGCTCTCCGCATGTCACTGAAATGCATGCAATGTGATGACAGACTCATTCATCAAGGGGAGTGTGTGCTCTACTCCAGAGAACAGGAGGGAGAGCAGAAGTAGGCCTGGCCCCGTGACCTTATCTCCTGGTAGGGTGGAGAACGAGGGAGTGTGTCCTGGTGCAGACACAGAGCCAGCACCTAAACAACCGGACCCTCCAGCTGGCATCCTCTCTTGCCAGAACTACCCGCTCCTCCCACCAAACGCTCCTGGTGGGTTGCCTACCTGAGGAGCCTCCATTTCCTCTCTTCCCATCTCTCCTGCACGCACCCTGCTGCTTCTTCCCTGTCTGTCCTGGGCTCTGGGTTTGGTTGCTGAGAACTGTGCTGGTACCTGCCTCATGGGCATTTCATGCTGGATTCTCAGCACATCTGACTCCACTGCCTGCTTCCTCCTAGAGTCTCTTCCCTTGGCTTCTTGGGCATCACAAGCTCCCAGCTTTCCTCTTCTCTGTCTGGCCACTGCTTCTCAGTGCGGCTTTAAATGTCAAGGTTCCTCTGGGCTCTGTCCTCAGCCTCCTTACTTTCCACTCTGCCCTCTTCCTTGACGATCTCATTGATGCACACACCACCAGTCACCACTGACTGGTACACAACTTCTCCTTTCTGGCTGCGGTCCACCTCTCTCCCCAGAGCTCCTGTTGCCTGCTCAGCATCCTGCTTGCATGTCTCAAAGACATCCAACTCCTTACGTCCCAAACCACACTCAGGACCTCCCCTACAACTCAGTCCTCTTCCAGGGTCCCTTATCTCAGGGAAATGGCACCACAGCGTGCCAGTCGTGCAAACCAGACAACTGGGGAGCACTGTGACATCTCAGTCCCTCCAGTGCCCTGAATGATTCATCCACCCCTGTGTGCAGCCATGTTTAATGCTAAATTTTGCTTAATTCTATCTGATTCTTGCCTTCTTCTCTGCCTCTGCTCTAGTCCAAGGCACCCTCTTTCGCCTGAATTATTTCAAAGGCCTATTAACAGGACTCTGCACACTTGCCATGGCACCCACCCAATGCATTTTTCACAGTAAGTCCACAGTGACCTTTAAATGTAAAAATGGAACCAAGTAACTCTCCTGTTTAAAACCCTTAGGTAGGGCTGAGGCAGAGGTTATGTCGGAGGAGGTGTGCGTTTATATAGTTCCTGGTCAACATACAAATATGGATGAAAAAGTGTCTGGGCTGACTCCTCATGCCAATAAAACCACTATGGCCCTGAGTGACAGAGTGACACCACGTCCAACAAATGGTGCTGGGAAAACTGGATATCCACATGTGAAAGACTGGAGCTGGACCCTTACCTTACACCATATAACAAATATTAACTCAAAATGGATCAAAGACCTGAACATAAAATCGAAAACTACTAATATAAAATGTGGCTGGGCATGGTAGTTCATGTCTGTAATTCTAGCGCTTTGGGAGGCTGAGGGGGATAGATCACCTGAGGCCAGAAATTTGAGACCAGCCTGGCCAACATGGCGAAACCCTGTCTACCAAAAATCCAACAATTAGCTGGATGTGGTGGCGGGTGCCTGTAATTCCAGCTACTTGGGAGGCTGAGACAGGAGAATTGTTTGAACCTGGGAGGCAGAGGTTGCAGTGGGTGAGATTGTGCCATTG